AGATGATAGACAATTATTAAATTACTATAAATTTGAGATTATCATAGTGACACACTCTAAACTGTGATACATTTTAAGATATAATTTAAATTGAATTACCAAATTTATAATAAAAATGCTGTATTATGTAAATTATATTGTGGAAGACATTTTATTGTTTGTAACATCATTAATCTCTAATTTAAGTATTGTATATTTTCTCCTTTGGTGAATATATATGAATATTGTTGTATATATTTACAGTTAAAAAAGCTGGTGAATTATGTTTGAAGATAAAATTATTTGGCTTCAGATTTTTCCCTTTTAAATATTTTGTCGTAAGCAATATTACTAATAATTAATCAGTAATCTTACCTGCAAGATCAAGCTTCATTCTTACTGATTGCAGGCCATCATACTCAAAATTATGCATCTATACAGAATGATGAAAGTCCTCTAATTACATTTATAGAATATTTAAACTTAAATACTTTGCTTCTATTTAAATATTTCTTTGAGAAAATTATAGTAATTTTTTTTTTTTCTAAATTTTTTAATAAAAGTTGGTAGATTGACAAACAAAATTTATTAACAATGACATAAAAGATATATATATATATATATTTAATTTATGTTAATCAAAACTGTTAAAAGTACCACTTGCTTAAATTGATCAATAATACCAAGGATGAGTAGACTAATTAATTACCATTATTGCAATTAATTGAATTGTACTAGTAATTATGATATCATAAAAAGTGGATTTTAACAGCCAGGGCCACACGTGGATTTATGCATGGGGAATTACATTTACATGTGCGTGTATGTAATTTCCAGATATATCACGTGACGTCACGTGGACTTCTTCCTCGTTGCCTCCGGTTTCCGACATTACTCTGTTCCTACTATGTACCCTCCCACCGAAACTTTTATGGCAACAACCAGCGGACCAAAGTTGCTCTTTTTCTTTTCTTTTTGTTTTTTTTTTTTTGTAAAAAATAATAATAAGATAAGAATATGTAGATATGTATTTTTCTTTTTCTCTAAAATGGAGGCAACTGTTGATTGAATTTCAGACTGAATTAATGTTGAATTGAATCTTTTTCGCATACTTACTTACAGTCAGTTGACTATTAATGATAATGTTGTAATGAAGATTTGATTGATGCTAACCTTAAAATCATTTGTATGTGTTTTAAAATTATAGCAAAAATCATAAAGGTGAACTATTTGAGAAATTTGGAATGAGGTGTATGGTCTCCGTTGGACCAAATTTTTGTTAATAACAATAATAATAATAATAAGATAAAGAATACTAATCACAACCAGTAGCTCAATTCAAAATAGAAGTGTAACACTTTTCATACCCATAAAACTTTAAAGATTTGGAATCGCAACAGAATTTTTTTTACAGTGAACCTTAATTTATGTTACATCCGATTTTATTAGAATATCAATGACAGCTCTAAAATTTTTAAATTTATTAGTCTTGTGGAGGTTTTTATCCTATTTTACCAATGTAACAGCAATTAATATATGTTCATCTCCTATTCTATAAATGACATCTCCTTATTCCTCTTTATTTTATAAGAATTTTGATTACTCTTTTTTAAGGTCTTTAGTTGTAAAGTCTTTCCATTATTAAATTTATGACACTCATAATTTTTTTTTTCCATTCCATAATATGTGCTTATCTTGGCAGCTCAATTTACCATTATGAATATCATTCTTTCATATATAAGGCAACAATTTGTATGTTGCACATCATACCCATGAATTCCTCATATCCTACTTTAAATCATATTTCCATATCACATTCAACTATTAAATTCCTGACTACAAACATCCCATAAATTTATTATCCTTAATCCTCACATGGCTATGTCTAACCTTATTGTCAATCTTATTAACTAAAGTCCTTATATTGAACCCTCAATTGACTCACCATTACTCATATCTACAATCTAATACTGAGACCTAAATCCAAATAATAAATACATTTACTAAACAATCTTCCTCATACGTTTTCCACGTATTCTTAACCTAAGTGATATCTAAAATTGAAGAATACCATGTGTAATTACTTACACAAAACATGAGATGTTGTTCCTTATCCTAGCAGTGTATTTTGGTTAGTAATAAATAGACGTTTCTTTGAACAAGTTTAAAGCTTTGTTCATTAGCAAATAATACTGGTGAAGAAAAGACTTA